AGAATCATTCACTCATTAAAATTGGAACAAATTTTACAAAGTTGATACACCAACAGTTTCAATGTTTATAGAAGACCTTGTTTTTTATGATTCCTCAATACTTGAGAAATTGCCTTGCCACTTAAAATTAGGGGCCTCATGCTTTATTGCTTGAAATTCTATCTTTGAGAAAGGCTAAAAACTCACCAGGAGGAGGAAAGATGAGGTTGGCATCAAATTTTTCTCCATTTAAAAATCTTGTCCCTGCTTTGCATATCTTAGTAGTCTGTGAGTGACCTTGCTTTCGTGCTGCAGCATGGCTCATCCAATTGCATGTGAAAAGACAGGGTTTGGCCTTCTTTTTCTTTATACATGGTGGGCATAATGAACAACGCTGAACACTCAGTCTTTGCCATTCCCTCAACAGAGCATCTGTCTCCTAAAATTAAACAATCTTTTTTGTATTGTATTTGCAATAGTTTCTGAAAGGAAGCATTCTGTAAGTTCAAACACGTGTAAGGGGACATAACAGAAACTGGTTTCTCAAGAGAAGACAAGAAAAGTCTTTATCTTGGACTTTCAACCTATATCTTCAAGAAGTCTATGCATTATAGTCTGTGTCATCTAACCAATTTTTTCAGGAGATACAGTTGCTTAATGGCCAAAACATACTCTACAGGGGTTTGAAACTTGGTTAGGCTAATAGTGTTGTGTGGTGTTCCTCACCCCTAGAGGGCCTATCTCCTCACACAAGTGTAGCAAGTACGAGTAAACTTTCAACAAAACCTAAGTAAATGCTGTGGCAGGGAGGAAGTTGTGGTACTGGTGATGCATTTTATCAAATCAAGCAGGTTTAACAGCTGTGTGAGGTAATTTTGAGTACAGACTTTACCTCAACAATGTTCAAAAGACTTTTCCACAGTGAATCTAATTCTGCCTTTAGTCCTCTTCCTTTAATGTAAATGGCTGGTGAGCCTGAATCAGGTCCTGTAGGGTAAATATGTTTATGAATCAGGATTCTGTGATCATTCCCCAACAACAGCACGTGATCTTTCCAGTTATAAAAGTCAAATCCCAGTGAACAACAGCGAACACGTAAGCGATCAAACAGACCAGGGGGTAAGCAAGACATCATAAACAGCAAGTTGATCTCTGCCTACAGACAAATGAAAATATGATTAAACCACACATTTTAACATCATACAATGGTTGCTACAAGGGGAACAGAAGTTGATCCAGTGACAAAATTAATTCTCTAAACCAAAATCACAAGAATTGTATGCCAGACATTAAGGAGACTTACTAAATAAACGAGATCTTGGAGGTGAAAGAGTGAGTTATGCTGGTGAAACTAGTAACAACCACCTAATCCATTGAAATGAATATGAATATAGTTTAGATCTGACCACTTGCAGCCCAGAGGCTGAATTACGGGTGCAGTGCAAGGTTGAGAACAGACGTCAGCATATGCAGGCGCCTTTGGCAGCCGCTTCAGTCTATCGATCTCACCTTCCCACCCATC